CAGCTCTCAATTAAAGAGGAATGTTCCTTGCACTTGGGGTGATTGATGGGCATCGGCAGCCAGGGCTAGGAGCCTCGGGAGCCAGCGAAGCAGGGAGGCGGCAGGCGGCTGCAGTTTGATCGCACCAGTCCTCCCCCTGTTACCCCTGTGTGCCCAGAGGAGGGGCAGGCAGCTGCAGGGCACAGAAGTGAGCTAGGGCTGAAGCCATAACAAGTTGTTCTGTGAGATTTGCTTTGCGGGGGCTGGGCACAGGGCATAGAGCAAGACACCCCGGTGTGCTGTACGAGTGGCATGACCAGGAACTGCAAGTCACTGCTCTCTCTCCCTTGCCCCTGCTCCAGTCCCCAGAGCCTTTCTGCAGCCCAGAGAGGCTCAGCTGATCATTAACTGAGTCTCTAGACATTTATCTGCGCCCTGCAGCTGGCAGGGAGCCCCTGGGGGATGCAGTTCCAGTGACCACAGAGGGCACTAAGTCCAAAGGGGGCCACAAGAACAGCCCTCTGCCCCTCCCTGCACACTGCAGGCCACACAGTGCCCCCATTGACCTACAGCAACATGAGGATCTTGACTACAGAGGCCTCAGAAGCTATCATGTGCCAATAGAAAAAGGGGAAGAGATGGCACAAGAGAGACCGTGAGCAGGGTGTCTGTTGCCCAGAGTCAATAAGCCAGGGAAGGACAGAGTAAAATAGGCTGGGTTTTTATCCCAGTTGTAGGAATCATTTTGCTTGGCACAAGGTTTTGTTTTTTTTAAGACCTCAGTCAGCGGGGTGTGTGTCAGAACGCCTTATGCAAGCCCCCAGCCTCCTGGGAGAGGCGAACTCCATCCAGGGCTTTCTTCAGTAGCCTGAAGACGGGCCCTGCCCTGGCGCTGCCCTGCGCAACTTCTCTAAGCCCAGAGTGAAATCCGGGGGGCTGTGATCAGCTCCTGCCTGTTAATTACCCACTCCCAGCCCTGAAACCGGCTGAGGTCCAGTCGGTTTTGCTCTGCTGCTACAGCACAAAGGGGCACTGAATGCACCCGTGAGAGAGGCTCCAGTCAGGGCAGGTGATGGTGTGGTGCTGGGGGACGTGCCTGTCCCCGCTGCTTGCAGTAGCCAGGACACTGGAGAAGAGAAGGAGAAGCAGATCCACCGTGAGGACTCTCCGCAGCCTGGTAGGGGCTGGCTGCTGGGGGCCCTTCCAGCACCTGCCAGCCAGAGGCTGATGTAACACAGGCCCGCTGTGGTGCAGTGCATGTATGTCTGGTGCCCCCCTGGGATCCGCGCATTGTTATACCCTGTCTGTTAAACCCACAGAGTAACATTTAAGAATAGCTCCTGCAGCCACTGCACCAGCATCTCACGGGGCCCCTAGCACCTCCCCTCATCCCTGCAGCTGGGCTGGGCTTGGAGCGGAGGCATTTGGACCAGCTCTGGGGCAAAGCCTCCTTCCGTTCGTATTGGTCCCTGGCTGGCAGTTTGTTCAAGAGGAGCCGGGGATGAGCACGTGCTCCTGTCCGGGGGGGGACACCCACTTGCTTATCGCTGCGCTGGAGATGATGCGCTTCCCCTTGGCCGTCTGGTCTTATGTTAACTGAACTGTTAAAAAGCTTCTGCAGTAGTTCGTTGCCACATCCCCCGGTGCCTTCTGTAGGGCAAATCCGTGCTTTTCCGTCTTCCTGTTCGCTGTCCTTCAAGGACAGCAGAATGTGCCCAGGCCAAGGGCCGAAGGATGGGAATCGAGACTCCTGGGTTTTATTCCTGACTGCACCACTAGCTCGTTGGAGCAGCCGTGGGGAAGAATCTGGGGGCCTGATTCTCTGCTTGCTCATGACTGCATGAGGCAGGAGCCCATGCATGCCCCGTCTGCATGGCATAGGGACCTGGCTTGATGTGTCGCCCTGCTCTGGACAGGCTCCCTCCATAGCCAGAAGCAGCGTCTGCCTGGCACCGGGTGATTAGCACTGCTGAGTGTCAGAGCCGGGAAGCCCAGCCCGAAGGTGCTTGAAGGCGGCTGACTGGGAAGCAGCCTGCACAGAGGGAGATGGTGAGCTGACCACGTGGAGGTGGCTACACAGAGGGCAAGCGGCTGAGAACTCGGCCTCTCATCGGCCTGTGTGTGTTAAATGGATGTCGTTGCTCCTGACCAGGCCTGTGCTGAGACTCACTGATGCTGTAGGTTCCCTGCCAGGGCTCAGACGGACATGTTTGTTCAGGGAGAGCAGGGGATGATTCCTCCTTGCCCTTCCTCTCTCGGGGCCAGATTCCCCTGGAGCAAGGAGGAGCCGGACCCAACAGGACCCTTCTCCTCCCAGGTTCACCAGCGAGCGAACGAGTGCGTGCGAGGGCTCCGGCTCTTCCAGGACATCGACCACGGCCAGGCTGTCACCAACATCCTGCACAGTGACTTTGATCTGGCTGCACTGAAGGTATTTCCCGCTGGCTCTTCCCTTCAGAGGAGAAACACGGCTTCCCACAGGACCTGCCAGGGGGGCTAAGTGGGGTTGCGGGAGTTGCCTTTCCCAATGATGCTGTGACCACTTCTCTGCTGCAGCTGGAGGAAGCCAGGGGCTCGGAGCTGGGACCTTCTGTACCTCTAATTTGCTTTCCTTTTATCCTTCCTCCTCGTTCATTATATTTGTCTCCATTTCTCCCCCTCCTTCCCCCAGTTCTCTGTTGGCCCTTTTGCTGCAGCCACTCCAGCTCATCTCCTTCTTACCCTCTCTCCCTCCTGGCTTTCCCCTCCCTCCCTGCTGGCTTGGCAAGGGAAAAGCCTGGAGAAACAACACCCAGGTCCTCTCCCATCCCCCCAGCTTAGTCCCCACCCTGTATTTATTCCAACCTTATATGAATCCCAGCCATTGCTGCTGCTTGATACGCAGCGCCTCTGGTGGCAGAGCTCAGGGCCTGGCCAGCTCTCTTTGTTCTTCCCTGCGTTCTCTCTCCTGCCGGCTTTCAAGCTGGGTTCAGGGCCCGGCGCTTGCTGCTCTGTGTCAGAGCAGAGGTGACTGGAGTGCCTGGTGGACAGGGTGTGATGTGGGCAGCGCTGGGTCTGAGGCTCCCCAGTCTTGGCGTAGGTTGTGGCACATTGGGGCGGGGCTGGGCTGGGCTGCACACGATGGAGCTGGGATTTGCTGACTCCACGGCACGGGCTGGGCTGAGCGCAGAGCTTCTAGCCACTGGCTCGGGGCATCATTGTAGGGCAGTCAGGTGCTCGCCCTGTGCCTCAGTTTCCCTTGCTGTAGAACATGGGGGTGATGTATCTGCACAGGCACGGTCCACATCAGGCACTGTCCAGCAAGCACTGACTGCACAGCTGGGCTTCCTTGGGGTTGCCCAGTGGAGGGGCCTGGCTGAGGACCAGCTCCTTTCACGTTCTCCTCTGTGCAGGACAGCGTGGACATGACTCGAGCTGCTGTCATGGGCCATTCGTTTGGAGGAGCCACCGCCGTGCTGGCCTTGGCCAAGGAGCCCGCTTTTAAGTGAGTGTCTGTCCATGACTGCTTCCAGCCTAACGGAGGAGCAGGCCTGGGAGCCAGGGATGGGAGCAGCCGGCCTCAGACCTGGCCCAGTCCCAGCCACCTTGTGTCCCCTGCAGGTGCGCAGTGGCCCTCGATGCCTGGATGTTCCCCCTAGAGAACGCGCTGTACCCGAAGGTGGTCAAGCCAGTGCTGTTCATCAACACCGAGACCTTCCAGACGGCCGAGAGCATCGCCAAAATGAAGCAGCTCAGCTCCCGCAACAGCCAGACCAAGATCATCACCTTGCTGTGAGTGGCAGCAGGGAAGTTGAGGGCTGAGGACACTGGGCAGGGCAGGAATCCTGGCTGTGCCCTGAGCGACCCCGGGCAGGCTACTTCCTTGTTCTGTGCCTCAGTTTCCCCCTCTGTGAGCCAGGGATAGCTCTGCTGAGCACAGCAAAAAGCTAAGTGTACCTACTGCCCCCAGGCCCTGCAGGCTCCTTCACCATCCCCGAGCCCTCTACAGCCCTACATCCATCACCAGCCCAGCTTATTCCCTCCCCATCCTTCCTCTCTGCCCCTTTTACATGAGAGCTTCTTGTGACAAAGGTCTTCCATCACACAGTTCCTAAGAGCCAGGTGTGGTTATGGGGCCTATGGGAGATGACACAGACATGTATTAGCTAGACTGGGCAGTGCCACACCTTTTGGAGCCTTGTCTACACTAATGGTAAAGTCCTGGCCTCTTCAAGCCTGCGGCAGAACACTCCCAAGGCCAGGGTGTTGCCTTAGAGGGTCTGGGGACATCTCCCACTGGGAGCTCGTGACTGGTGGCATGTTCACAGCCAAGTTGGAGGGGCTGGTGACCCTGTGCTGGCTGCAGTCCTGTCCCAGGGTGGGTGTCCGGGGTCTAGATGTGGCCTGCAGGACAGGCATGTTGTCTACAGCTCATCTTCCACTCCCCCCTGCAGCGGCTCAGTGCACCAGAGTCAGACCGACTTCACTTTCCTGGCTGGGAACCTCGTCAACACAGTCTTCCAGACCAGAGGCCCCCTGGACCCCTACAAGGGCCTAGCCATCACCAGCAGGGCAGCGCTGGCTTTCCTGCAGAAACACCTCGGTACGACAGTGCTTTTGTGGGGAAGGTCCTATCTGACCTTGCCCAGTCCCACCCAAAGCAGGCCTCGTGGTGGAGCTGGAAGCCACATGCTCCTGCCCCCACCCACTGCTCTGCTGGGGGTTTTGGACAGCTGCTTCGCTTCTGTGCCTCAGTTTCCCCAACCCCATGGGAGTCCCTTTAAAGCCTTAAAACCCTGGGTCTAAGCTGCACAGGACTGAGAGTCTCCAATCTGGACAGGACGTGCTGGGGAAGGAAGGAGGGGGCACAAGGTTGCTAAATGAATGAGGGGAGGTAGGAGAAAAGTGAGCATGTGTTAGTCGGCCTTAGGGGACCTAGGAGGTTCTCTGCAGGCTAACACCAAGCAGTCAGTGGACTTTGGCTACTGGGTGGGAGTTGGTTGTAACCGTGGGGTCCTCTCTCCCCAACCCAGAGCTGAAGGAAGACTTTGATCAGTGGAACGACCTCCTGGATGGCATCGGGGACTCCGTCATCCCCGAGGCTCCCCTCTGCCTGTCCAACCTCTAGGGATGCTGCCCCTCGGCGCGGCCATGCAGTCGTCAAGCCGTCAAGGTTCCAGGGAACTCGGAGCACCCCCTTGGAGACCAGCCGTTTCCCGTCACTGCCAGCACAAGGAGGCCACGAACTTGGTAGCTGCTGGTGCAAGCCAGAGACCCAAAGACCTCGGCTATTAGGGAGTCCTGATGGATGCTGAAGGCCAGGGGTGCTGGGCTTGGGTTGGCCTGGGAAGGTAGAGCCTGGGCACCTCCCGGAGATCAGGCCGGAGGCTTGCGGTGGCCACAACGCACTGCAGAGCCCAGAGCATCAGCACCTTCAGGCAGGGCAGAGCCATGTCTCGCATTCATGCTATGCCAGGCCTAACACTGCCCCTTACCCACCTCCATGCCCTGGCGTGAGGGCCGGACACTGCAGGCTATGCAGAGGAAGGCCCCACAGCCATGAGGCCAGAGCTGCTTTGGGTACGCGTGACAGGGTGGGAATCTTTCCCGTTGTGCCATGGGTAGAAATGCCTGAGATGCTGCTGTGACAGTCTGTAGCCCCGGGAGTCGTGTGCTCTGTACAACAGTGCCTTCATGAGACGCTGCGTGTCCTTCTTGCAGACGTGCAATGAATGTGGGGGGATGGGGGGTGGACTCCATCACACCTCTCTAAGCCGGGGGCTTTCCTGCTTACTAAAGCGCCAGCTGGAGCAGTGGGGTTGGGCACACAGGAGCCTTGGGTGCTATTCCTGCCTCTGCCACTGCTTAGCTCAGTGGCTTTGGGCCAGGATCTTGCTCACCTGCCTTGTGCCTCAGTTTTCCTATCTGCGTAATGGGAATTGTAATAGTCAATGATTTGTAAAGAGCAGTGAGAACTGCAGGAAGGGGTTAGGGACCTGCAGCCCTGTCCTGCTACCCACTGGGGCCCAGACTGTAAGGCAGAGGGTAGAAGGAGAGATCCTAGCTGGGGTGGGAAGGGGGCAAGCTGACAGCTGCCCCAGTGGGGCTGGCTTAGCGCATGTGAGGTGGTGTCCCATGAGGAGATCGTGTGAGTACAAAGCAGCCTACACCCGTAACGGCATGGCCTCGTTCCCACTGCCTCTCGGTGATGGTGGCTGTTTTCTCCTCCTCCCCTCCCTTTTGAATGAAGAAGGCTCCACTGCCCGGTTCCTTGCCCCTTTGTGAAAGCCTGCTCCTGCCACGGTGCCAGTTTGGCTCAGCCCTGCTGCAGCTTTGCCCTGGCTGAATTGCCTGTGGGTTCCCTGCAGCAGGGAAGAACAGGAAGGGCTCGAGATCCTGGCTGCTTTTAATAGGCTTTGCATCAGCGCTTTAAGCACCAGCATCTTCCTCTATGGCTGGATCCATTCCCATGATCTCCCACGTCTGCCTGGGACTGCTGTGGCTCTGTGGGCTCAGCCTGCAATGGCAGGGGGCAGCTAATGGATGCGGAGCCTGGGAAAAGGGACAAGCCCATGCGTCCCCATTAACAGTGCGAGACAGCGACTGGTGTGCAAATCAGGCTGCATTTGCTTCCCTGAGCGAGCCGGCTGGGGATGCGCCATGACAGCTATGCTGCATCCAGGCAGCTCTCGCGGGGCGCCTGGGAGAAGAGCTATAAATTGTGCAGGACTCTTACATAAGGGCTTTGGGGGAGGCCTGGAGGGGGGTGAGTCACGTGGACGGCGCCTGCAGAACATGAGCCCTTTGTGGGACGCCCCACGTGGCAATAGTGCCCAGCCCCGTGCCACAGCTCCGGTCTCCCCTTCATCTGAGCCAGCACCTCTCCCCACCGCGATGCCAGCTCTGAGCCGGGGCCTTTGCACTGCTGTCACGTCAGTGCAGCATGGGTGCGAGACGCTGCCATGTCAGAAGAGCAGGGTCTGGCATTCGCCTGGCCTCTGGCTGCCCAACGTGCAGGCCACAGAGAAGTCCTGCCGGGACAAGCACAAGCCAGGGGGAGGGGTGTCTAGTGACTAGGGCACAGGGCGGGGAGTCCTGCAGACAGGCAAGCCATGGCTGCTTTGGGGTCTCAGTCTACCTGTGTGTAAAATGGGATCATTGTTCTCTCCCTCTGAAAGAGCTTTGAGATCCTCAGCTGGAAGATGCCCAGCATCATTTTCTTCCCCATCACATGGCTGTGCTGGCTCCAGTCCAAAATGAAGAGGAGAGAATACTTCAGGGCTGTCCCCAGCAGGCTCCATGTGCTGCCCTTCGCCCTTCCCCTCCATGCTGCTTGTACCCAGAGCACCTGCTCCTCCCCCCTGCATCTTCCTGCTCCGTGCACTCCTCTGGGCCTTCACCCCTGCCCTGAAAGCAGCTCTTCGCCATTTGCCCACACCCGGGAACCCCGCTCCCTCCCTCCTCTGGGTCCCTCAGCAGCTGGAAATGTTTCCTGGAGCGCTGAGTGCCTGGCCAGGCCTTTTGCACAGAGGATGCGGCGTCCAGGGGTGAGGAGGGGGCTATTTTCCCCCTCGTAATGGGTTAGGGTTGAGGGACTTCTCTGGGCCTGACGCTGCAATGAAAGGAGCTGAACAGCTGTGCTGAGGCTGGCACCGGAGGCAGCTGCGTGAGATGTGCAGTGCAGGGTGCTTCCGTGTTACCCGCGCTGGGCGGAAAGGCCCCTGGGCCTGTAACCAGAGGGTGTTTTGCCTGGAACAGGAGCAAGGGTGAACCCGTTTGCATTGTGCATGCTGAAGATGGGCTTTACCTGGGCGCTCGGGGCCAGCCACAGCTGTTTGGGCTCCTACAAATCCCCTCCCCAAAGCAGAAGGGCCATGCACCGGGATAGGTGCCGGGGTAGGAAGCTTTCCTCTTGCCTGGGAAAGAGGGCACTGAGCAGCTGCCCAGCCTGGGAGCCGGGGGCTGCATTCATCTGGGCTGGACCCAGCTTGGTCCCAGCTGGGTTCCCAGGTGGCTCTTCCCCCACATGGTGCTGATGGGCTGAATGGCCTTCGTCAGGAAGGAAGAGCCACGCTAGGCCCAGCCCCTACTACCCAGAGCAGCTGCCCCCGGCTGAGAAGGGTCAAGGAAGCTCCAATCGGAGAAACCCGGCTCATTTCCCCCATCCTCGGGGGCCAGCACCAACTCCGATGCTGCCCGCAGAGCTAGGGCTGTTCTGAGCAGAGACATAAGGAGCTGGGTGCAGGTAAGGCAGAGCCCGCTTTCCCCAGCCCCGGCGTGGGGCCAGCTACCCCTCATCACTGGAGGGAAACTCGGGCTTTTGTTTTTCAGGGCTGGCGAGTGCGTGCTCCCACACTCAGGCTGTAGCAGCATCCCCTCCCCTTGGGGCTCGGCCTTGCCGCCCCAGTGTCAGTGCAGCCGTCTGCCGCTAACGGGGAATTTCAGCAGAATCAATAATGTGCCGGGCGGAGGTGCATCCTGGAGGGAAGCATTGTGCAAGCTTGGGAGGGCGCATGCGAGCGCGGCTGCTAGTGTGCGTATGGCGACGTGGGGGATTGGGGGGGCAGTGACAGTGTGGAGCAGGGCTGGCGGGGGGGGGTGTAGATGCATATTCACCCCTCTGTTTTGGGATGAAAGCAGGTCCTGGACACAGATCCTGGAAGCCAGTGAAGGCAACTGGGGAGGAATGGTGAAAGGGTTGGACAGTCCCAACCCCCTGGGCCTGCCGTTTCGATGGCCAGTGTATCCACGAGCCTGCTTTGGGCCCAGGTGCCATCAGCCTGTTAGGAGCTGCTTGCATTTCAGCCTCTGGAAACTCAGGGGCTGCGAAGAGCCAAGTGCAGGATTTTGTGCATGGCTGTTGGGGATTTGCCAGCCACGCGGGCGTAGCAAGGATCCCTTGCGGGACGGCTAGCGGTTGCAGCAAGGGGACTGGGAGTCAAGGAGATACAGCTTCTCTTCTCAACTCTGTTGCTGGGTTTCCCTGCACCCAGGACCTGCTTTTCCCCCTTGCCCAGCCATCACCAGCACCTGTAATTGTATGTGCATCTGCTAACGAGAGCGCTGGCTGCAGCCAAGGCACGTGGGCCGAGCTGGCTCTGCAAACAGGCGCCATCCGCAGCTTCCGGTTCTGGAGACAAACACCCGGGAAGCGCCAGTCCCCCAAGGGCTTCTCTAGCTCGGCTGCAAGTCCCAGAGGGGTGGGACAGGTGGAGGGCCCGGCTGGGTGACATGTGGCATGGGGGGTATGCAAGAAGGTTGTAGCTGGGGTTGGGAAGTGCTGACAGGTGGAGAAGGGGGAAGAGGGAAGGGCTGGTGATGGGGAGAACTGCTCTTCTCCCAGGTGGGGGCAGGGGGACAGAACTGGGGCCTGGACACCGCCTTTGCATTCACTTCCCTACACATCACTGCAAAGCGGGGGTGAACGTGCATCTACACCCCCCCCGACGGGGCCAGCCCTGCCCCACACTGTCACTGCCCCAATCCCCCACGTCGTCATACGCATGCCAACAGCCACGCACAAACTCTTCTGGGCCTCCGTTTCCCCACGTGTGCGAGGCAGGTGGTTTACTCCCCCTGCAGCGCTTTGCCCGGCGGCTGCTGGTAGGCATGAGCTCATAGTGAAACCGTTGTGTGCAGCTGTGCTCTGAGTTTAATGCTAGTGAGAGGTGTTGGAGCAGCTGCACCCCTCCGTGTATCTGTAGGGTTGGCACCATGCATCCGCCTGGCTCTGCTCCGTCCTGCGAGGGGGTCTTAGCCTGCGCCTGGAGGCACCACTTGCAAGCACAGCCTCCTCTGCCACAGTAATGCTTTGTGTGCAGTAGACGCCCACCCTAGAAGGAGCAAATCGGGACCCACTGAGTCATTTCTCACCGGCCGCTGCGTGGTCATCAGCTCTGGCTCGCTGCCAAGCACGGCCACCAGCCATCTTACACCAGCCACAGCCCACCCCACCTATCAGCTGCCTAAGACAGCTCTGGCACCAGAACGTGGGCCGATTCCACCCTGCCCGAGCCACTGAAAATCCCCAAAGGCGTCGATTTGTCTGATGCGCTGCCGTCTCAGCCTTCGGATCCGGTCACACGCAGGCAGCGAGGGGTGGGGGGCCGTGCCTGTTGTACTGACGGACTCCCAGGGATTTGCAGGGTGGAATCGGATCGTCCAGTTCAGCTCTGGCTTTGCCCCTTCTCCGCGCGGTTGTTCGTGCCGGGCCCCATCCAAAGGAGGTTTAAGTTGGCAGTAGTGGGAGAAGCAGGACCGGGTCCTTGGGTTTGGTGCGGTACAGGCCGCGCAGCCCCAGGTCCTGATCCCGTCTGCGGGCCTGCGAGGGGCCGAGCCTCAGCGATGCGAGAACAGAATGGGCGTGGGGGGGGAGGAAAAAGGCAGCTTCTGTGGTGCGATGCTCGCAGCTTCAGGACAC